TTCGTGTTCTAGTGTTGTTTGAGGTACGAGTCTTACGTGTTATTGGTGACTAAATAATAAATAAAAAGAAAAGGCATTGGTAAACTGATGTTGTTGAATAAAAGGACTTACTAGGTATCATGGAAAAGAGTGTATAGACTTGATACATAGGGTGAACCTTACCGTGGATATTATCCTCAGCTGTACGAGGCTAGGAAGTCCCATACTGGACAGGGTTGGGAGTTAGTTAATTTCGCTCATATCGGACGAGATATTGAGATAGTCTTTAGTTTGTGGTGCCCATTAGTGGACGAGGTATGCGGACGACCAATGATCTATAAGGAAAGTGTTATGTATCCACGCGTAGCGGGGACCCCTATGGGCCCCCAACAATACCGGTAGGGAAAATAAAAATGGTAGGATAGGAATGGGTATGGTAAGTAACTCAATTTGGGACAAAATAGTAAAGAACCTAACATTACATGTGATGCAGAATCCAAGATCAACCAACGTGATTAGGAATTCACATAATTTCATTCAAGGTACCAAAGGAATTTGATCATATGAAAACTCTCCCTATTTAACCCTCTATCAAGAATGATATGAACTAAGATCACTGAGAAATGGAGAATTAAAAGAAGAATAGAAAAATGCCTCAAGGAATTACATTGATCAGTAAATCCACTCATTGCTCAATAAAAAGGATGAAGACACCTCACTTGAATAAGACTCATAATATTATTAGTTTTAATCTTAGTTGCTTACACTGAAGACTTAATGACCTATTTATAGGGTAAGTCATGTGAATAAAATAATAATAAAAATCTCCTAATTAAAATTGCAATTACATAAAATAAAGTCTAAATTCCTAATTAGGTGCAATTACATAGGAAATTAATTAAAATTAAAGTCTAAATTCCTAATTATTATAGATATGGTCTTTCCCTTTTTCGTGGCCAATTACTTTATTTTCTTACCCATTTCCATCATGTGTTTGAAGACAATTGATAAGACCATTATGCCCTTGGATTAATTGGTTGGGTAACTTATTTCCTTGGGCTTCTTTAGTGGATCCAAACCCATTTTCCTCATTAATTCAAGCTTGGATGAAGAATTAGAAAGCTTGTTGTAATCCTTGGGTCTGGCCCCCTGTTATGGGCCCACTTGGCATGATGATGTCTCTTCCATGTGGCCCAAGATGATCCATGCTCACATCATCTCCCTCATCTTCAAGATCATTCATCCTCAAATCTGGACCTGCATCGAAAAAGGAAAGGTTAGCAACATTAAAGGTGGTGGAAACGCCATACATACCTTGAAGGTCTATCTTGTAGGCATTATCATTGATGCTTCAAGATTTGGAACGGGGCAACTCCTCTAGGGTCCAGTTTTGACTTCCTTTTTGTAGGAAATCTTTCCTTCCTCATATGGACCCATACCCAATCTTCAGGTTGAAATGTGACTTATGTTCTCCTTTTATTGACTCTGCGGCATATGATTTGTTCTTTTTCTCCAAGTGTTATCGTGACTTTTTGTGTATAGTTTTGACTAACTCTGCTTTTTGTTGTCCATCCAGATTAACAAGTTTCTGCAAAGGTAAAAGAGTTAAATCAAGTGGGGTTAGTGGGTTAAACCCATATACAATCTCAAAAGGAGATAAACCGATAAAAGAGTGAATAGTCCTGTTATAAGCAAACTCCACTAAAGGTAAACACTCTTATCATGTTTTAAAATTTTTTCCAACTACCGCCCTTAATAGGTCTGCTAGAGTCTTATTAACTATTTATGTCTGTCCATCAGTTTTGGATGATAGGCAGTAAAAAATAATAGTTTAGTCCCCAATTGTGCCACAAGACTCTCCAAAAGTGACTTAGTAGCTTGACATCCCTATCACTAATTATGGTCTTAGGGACACCATGTAGCTGCATGACATCACTGAAAAATAGATTGGCTATATTCGTTGTATCATCTGTTCTATGACACGCTATAAAGTGTGCCATTTTAATGAACTTGTCCACTACAATGAATATACTATCATTTCTTTGCTTAGTCCTTGGTAATCCTAACACAAAATCCATAGACACATCCATCCATGGTACTGATGAAATGGGTAACGGAGTGTACAGTCCGTGCGGTAAGGACCTAGACTTAGCCTGCCTACATGCAATACACTTCTCACACACTCGCTCTACATCCCTACACATGTTAGGCTAGTAGAAGTGTTCCTACAAGATACTTAGAGTCTTAACTACCCCAAAATATTCCATGAGTCCCCCACTATGTGACTCACGTACTAACAGTTCCTGTTGAGAGTATATAGTTACACAC